CTCTCCTCGATATTCTTCTTCTTCTACTATATAGTATATTTGACTGCTGTGATATAATGACCAGGATTTGGAAAACCCATGTTGCAGGTTTGATTACATTATCCGCGACTCCCGAGCCTGTGGTGTGGGATGCAACTTTGAGTATACAAGGTTATCATCTTATCTTTACCATTTGTTTTAGCTGGATGTAGGATACTAGCAGCCTGGAAAGATATTGCTAAATACAATCTCCATTTCGATTGATTTCTTTTGTGACTTGCAGGTTAATGCAGAGTATGAGGGTTATGGAAGATGAAATATGCTATCGGTACAAAGAACGTAAGTATCTAAATGACGAGCAATGAACACCCTTTTCACATGGTTTAATTATTTTTCTATCGAATAATCACTATTCACCTATAACACCAGATCGGACCATCCACAAGTTGTTTGCCACACGTGCTGATTTGTACAGAACCGTTTATACTCATGCAAAAGTAAAGGTATTTTATCCTTCACTTGGAGTTGGAAAGGTTTTATTGGGTTTAATGTCCTAGCTGCTTTCATTTATTTATTTTTAACCTTAATGATCCTATGGGTCGTTCAGGCTATAGAGCTGATGGTTGTAGATGCATTAGTCAGTGCAAATAATTATCTGCAAATAGCATCTCACATACAGGATCCTTCACAATATTGGAAGGTTTGGTAATTCTCTTACTGTACATAATTAAGTAACTGATTCATTGCTCTGCTGAGGTTTTTTCCTTTGATTGTGCAGTTAGATGACACTATTATCAAGACCATCGAGACAGCACCTGACGAAGAACTCAAGGAAGCTAGGGACTTGATTTTGCGGATTCGCAGAAGAGATCTATACCAGGTTTCACTTATTCAGTTACTTGATGCTATTAGTCTTCACTTTTATCATTTTTCACGTTGGAATATTTTATGAAATATGGCGTGCTCATAACATGCTATTCCACTTCTGAAGTTTTGTAACGAGTATGCTGTTCCAAAAGACAAATTGGAGAATTTTAAGAATGTCACTGCGCAAGATATCGTTTGCTCACAGGTACTTACTCGATGTGTGTTATTGTTAATTGCTATTTGGTAAATAGTTTTGAGTTTTTTCAGGTTACTTAACTTGCTCAATTGATGCACTTTCTTTTTAATATGATTGGTAAATATATAGAAAAACGGTGGAGTCGCACTAAGAGAAGAGGATGTCGTGGTTAGCAATGTTCGGATTGATTTGACTCGTGGGAGGCATAATCCTCTTGAAAGGTGCTTATCCCATGTTATCCCACATTTTCTTGTGCATGTAGACTTATGAATAGAATTCTGACGGGCTAACGTTTATATTGTTTACTTTTGCATGCTTTCCTTCGTCCAGCGTCAAGTTTTTCCAGGTAAGAATTCCATGTTTCAGTTTATTATTTATTATTTATATTTTTATTTATTTATTTCCTTGATATGTTCATGTTCAGGATTACGATAGTGAGGATAAGTTCTCCATAACCGATGATCGCGTGAGCCACCTTCTTCCGACATCTTACCAGGACATGATTGTGCGAGTGTACTCTAAAAGTCCCGAACTGGTCTGCTCTTAACTAAGCCATCAAAATAATTTGATTTCGTTTGGGTTTCATCGTTAATTGTAATGTCTAACTTTTAATGCTTTTGCAGATTGGAGCGATTTCTGATGCTTTCGAGAATTTTCAGTTGAAGACATACGGGATCAAAGCACAAGTACAAGCCACACCAGAGAAGAAAAAACGACGGATATGATTGTTTTCTTTTGTCTGCGGATAACATAATTTTCCTTATATATCACGTATATTGTCCTCGTGTATTTTAGATGCATGCTCCCAGGACTGTTTTTATTTGTTTCAAGGGAAATATACTTGTTTTGTTGTGTTTTATCGTAAATTAGTGTGCTTATTAGGTGTTTAGCCACAATGGTCTCATTGCCTAGAACTCCAGTTTTTTGTAGGTTGATTGGTACCTTCTTTAAAATATGTATTAATATTAATACATGTTCAAGGCTCAAACCATTGCTCGTTCTTTTGTGTTACTGTTACACGACTATTTCGTTATTGTGAAACTTAAAGATTCTCTCATCGTAAAAATTTTTCAATTGTTTTGAAAGGTATCTAGTTAAGTTAGTCATTGCTTGTTTCTTTGAAGAATTCACAAATGAGAACTATTTCAGCATAAGTGCTCAAATGTGAAGCATGTCTTAAAATGCAGTCAAATGTATAGTATTGCATTTTTATTTATAATTTTGGTTCAAAGTGAGATAGTTGTTCACGAGCTACTAGAAACAAACGTCCGGCAAGCAAGAAACACCTCTAACATCGTGCTCAAGCCACCAGAGGTGGGCCTGGAAGCCGATGGCACCCGAGAGAGACCTTTATTCCCATCATATAAAATAATTTAAATTTGTAAATAGATGTATCATTACTCATTAGACTGACTGAAGAACTAACTCAACAAAAATTAGCTCCAAATCTAATAATCAAATAATTATTCCCAGACAGCGACAGCTGCTGCTCGTCTTCCCCTTCACTTCACTTTAACAGTGAAATTGACAAACTCACTGACTGTCGAGCGGCCGGAGATGGCGGCGGATATCGGTGTCGGCGGCGGCGATGATAGCTACGTGAGGGCGGATCGGATAGATTTGAAGAGCCTCGACGAGCAGCTTCACCGGAAGCATCTCAGCCGAGCTCTTACATTAGAGAAGAAGAAACAAGAAGAAAATAGAGAAAATCAACGAGAGGAGGAGATGAGGGAGATTCCGGTCAGGCATGCGTGGGAAATCGACGCCTCAAAGCTCGTAATCAAGTCCGTCATCGCGCGTGGCTCTTTCGGGACCGTTCATCGCGGCATCTATGATGGACAAGATGTTGCTGGTATATTTCATGAAATCATCAGACTTCAGATTTCTTTACTAATTGAAAGTTCGTCTGATTAAATTGTTACATAGTTTATTTTTTTTTTTTCGTTTTCTTCTGATTTTGAGGGCATGAATATATTTTCAGGGTGTTCAATGTCCATTAAAGCTGTTAAACTTGGATTGTTGGCTAGTTCTCTAGATTAAAGGGCAGCTGGCTTTATGATGTGTGTTATTATTAGGTGAAATTTCAGATGCTTATCGGTTGAGTTGAAAGTTGAAGTTATCTTTTGCTTGATTGAAATCCATCCATGATCAAATTTTGATTGAGTTCAGCTTATCAGGATTTTGAATTTGCATCGAGTAACAAATTATGCTATTTTTCTTTCCTGCTTCAGTAAAACTTCTGGACCGGGGTGAAGAAGGACACAGGACTCAGGCCGAAATGGATTCGCTTACAGCAGCTTTTGCCCAAGAAGTTTCTGTATGGCACAAGCTTAATCATCCTAATGTAACCAAGGTAATCTCTTACCGTTCCACACATCCTTTAACTTTCTTGGGCAAATCCATTTACGGTTAGTTGTTCTTTCCCTTCTTGCATTTCGTTGTTCATGCTGTTATCTTGACATGTATGTTAAGGATTTTTCCTTTTTTTTTTGGCTTTTCTCTAGTGAGGTTATTTTGATTCATTTGCAGTTCATAGGAGCTATAATGGGCATGTCGGAGGTGAACATACAGAAAGACAACAATGGGCATTTTGGGATGCCGCGTAGTGTTTGTTGTGTAGTGGTTGAGTACCTAGCTGGAGGTACTCTAAAGAGTTTCCTCATAAGGAACTGTAGAAAAAAACTCGCTCTCAAAGTTGTCATCCAACTAGCTTTGGATCTTGCACGAGGGTAAACCCAAAAGCCATATGTAGTGTAGATTCAATTTAGTTGCATTTATTTGGATCGGCTTCGGCTGTGGGATCCATGTGTAGTTAACTCGTTTTGTGATGTTAATTAAATCATTAATAGGCGACCTATGTCAAATTTTTTGCAGGTTAAGCTATCTTCACTCCAAAAAGATTGTACACAGGGATGTGAAAACCGAAAACATGCTTCTTGACAAGAATAGGACTGTAAAAATAGCTGATTTTGGAGTTGCTCGTGATGAGGCCTCGAACCCCAATGAAATGACCGGTGAGACTGGGACACTTGGTTACATGGCACCCGAGGTACTAATTTATTTGAATATGAATGAATCTCTGTGGCTTGGGTGTCATCTGTTGGGGGATGTTATTCATTGTTTTTTGCGTTTGTTGAATATATATATAATAGGTCCTGAATGGTAACCCTTACAATAGGAAATGTGATGTCTATAGTTTTGGTATCTGCCTCTGGGAGATTTATTGCTGTGAGATGCCTTATCCAAACCTCAGCTTCTCCGAATTGACTTCAGCCGTAGTTCGCCAGGTATTAGTTAATTCGGGGATTAATTTCCAAAACCACCCTCGAATTCCGAATAACTGCTAACGTACACCCAACGAGTTTGAATTTTCGAAAAAAAAAACAAACAACGACAGGTTTTGCTGTCTTCTTGCAGAATCTGAGACCTGAGATACCTCGGTGCTGTCCTAGCCCTCTTGCAAATGTAATGAAACGATGTTGGGACCCCATTTCTGAGAGGAGGCCCAACATGGAAGATGTTGTTTCCATGTTAGAAGCCATTGACACAACTAAAGGAGGAGGTATGGTGACTACCGACAAGCATCGAGGATGTTTCAGCTTCCACAGGCATCGAGGGCCATGAGAAGTAGAGTTCACATTGACCCAAAGCTGACCAGTTGATTTCTTAAAAGATACGGTGTTGAAAGTAGAAGTCGGTATTTAACTAGTCTGAAGTTGAGAGGTTTTTGAGCTCAATATATATGTATCTATTCAAAGCATTCCCCAGGCTTTGAAGTTGTTGGCTATGTTTGCTAATCAAATAAGCTAGCTTATAAGATTTTTATATCCTCCCTATATATAATTTCCGAATGCGCTGAGCCTACGTGGCTGCTTCTGGTGCTTCGAAATCATATTTGGCGAACAACCATGCTTCGTAATTAGGTTTGGATAAATAATATTAATATACTAATAATTAATAATCTAGGTTCGGGTATTCCATAAATATTATTTAGCTAACTTAGGTATTTTAATATCACTTTT